TGAAGCACTTCCACATTCCCCGCAGGAATGCTTTGCTGAAGTCTTCTTTATGGCCTCATAAATCAGTTAATTTAGTCTCCCCACACTTTAAGGTGGTACCTAATTTTCCTACTTGACAGATGCAACTGTCTTTCGGGTTGCAAAGGTCAACAACAGGCTACACACAATTGGTTGGAAACCCACTCCAACCCGGGCTGGCTTCGAACGCATGACCTTTTGGTCAGAGTGATCTTAATGCAGCTGACACTCAGCGAGCTGCGCCACAATATATGGTGTATTTCTGGGGTTTTTAAGTCCATTCTGCTGGGTTTTTTTGTTGGTTTTCTTTTTTTTTCTTTTTTCTTTTTTTTTCAATTTTAGGGGTGATGAACACTCATTGGTCTGTTAGGGGTGTACTGTCCAAAATTGTGTCAATCAGTCCAGTGGTTTCTGAGTTATGTTAATCCCACAAACGAACATTACATTTTTATTTATATAGATGGCAGTTCCTAATTGATTCTGTCATAAAAATTGCCAATAATGAAATAATAATGAAATTTTGAAAGTTCTGTTAGAGTTCTGAAATTTTCACCACCAGAACTTTAGCAACACTGTAGAAGCAAAGCACCAGTGCCCCCTAGTTTTGTAAGTACTTTAAAACCATGGATTGCCCATGCCTAATGTGAACCCTCTCCTGTTTTTAATCTGATTTTCCCATTAATATCAGATACCATGACTAGGACCAGGCAAGAGGTCTCTGTGGGTTATCATGGTCTCCTGTGACCTTTCCTTGCTTAATCTGAACATGCTGCAGAGATTAAAGTTAACAAAGGCCCTTTTCGGGCTTTATGAAAATAAATAAAGCCAATGAGGCCGGAGAAAGCTTAGAAACTCAGAATTACTAAGCAAATAACTGCACACCAAAAAAGTCCTTCCCATCCTAGGTTCTTTCTACAGTGATCCCCATTGGCTACGTTTGTTGGAGATGATGGAAGTTGTAGTCCAGAATATCAGGACTCTAGCAAGCCTGTTTAGGTTTAGAGAGTAGAGCTATTCAGAAAGCCTGGCATTGGATCTATGGACATCTGTTTTAAAATTCAAGGGAAGGAATTTGGTAATTCACTAATTTTGCTTTCAGTGGGTCAAATCCAGAATTTGGAAATGTTACATCAGACTAAGGTAAAGGTTTTCCCCTGACATGAAGTCCACTCGTGTCCGACTCTGGGAGGTGGTGCTCATCTCCATTTCTAAGCCGAAGAGCCGGCGTTGTCCACAGACATCTCCAAGATCACATGGTTCGCATGACTGCATGGAGCGCCGTTACCTTCCTGCTGGAGCGGTACCCATTGATCTACTCACATTTTGCATGCTTTCAAACTGCTAGGTTGGCAGAAGCTGGGGCTGACAGCGGAAGCTCACGCCGCTCCCCGGATTCGAACCTATGACCTTTCGGTCAACAAGCTCAGCAGCTCAGTGCTTTAACCCACTGCGCCATCACACTACAGTTCCGAAAATGTCCTAGCCAGAATGATGAATGGGCACTGTGTACCAAAAATGCAATTTCTCCAAGTTCTGGAAATTTCATTAGAAGCCCATGAATACTACACTACCATGGCCATAAGATTCCACTTTAATTATCATGACTGCATTCTATGAAACTCTGGGATTTGCATTTTCATAGAATCAAAGAGTTGGAAGAGACCTCATGGGCCATCCAGTCCAACCCCCTGCCAAGAAGCAGGAATATTGCATTCAAATCACCCCTGACAGATGGCCATCCAGCCTCTGTTTAAAAGCTTCCAAAGAAGGAGCCTCTACCACACTCGGGGGCAGAGAGTTCCACTGCTGAATGGCTCTCACAGTCCGGAAGTTCTTCCTCATGTTCAGGTGGAATCTCCTCTCTTGTAGTTTGAAGCCATTGTTCCACGTCCTAGTCTCCAAGGAAGCAGAAAACAAGCTTGCTCCCTCCTCCCTGTGGCTTCCTCTCACATATTTATACATGGCTATCATGTCTCCTCTCAGCCTTCTCTTCTTCAGGCTAAACATGCCCAGCTCCTTAAGCCACTCCTCATAGGGCTTGTTCTCCAGACCCTTGATCATTTTAGTCGCCCTCCTCTGGACACATTCCAGAGTCATTTTGGCCAGAGTTACTAGACCTCTGGCTGAAGATTCGAAATGCCCTTCCCAAAACTGCATATTCCAGGATTCCATAGAACGTTGCCATGGCAATTGAAATGGAATCATACTGCTAGAATTGTGTGGTGTGAAAAAGCCCTGTGAGTCTGGGCCACACATGGAGGATGGTTTGCACACCGACATGTTAATGTCTAACTACACTGCTTCCCTCATATATTTATTATTTAATAATAGATTATTAGTATCAATTAGCAGCTATCAAATGACTTAAGATGTCAACAACTGACTTGTTAGCCTGATGATCACCTTACAGCAACACATGTTGGTGTTTTAATGTGTGGGACTAGTCAACTAATGAATTATGATTAATTGAGAGAGTTGCCATTATGTATCATAAACATTCTATTATATACGTATGTATATAATTTTCTGGCACACACCTTAAAGGACACCCTTTGCAGAGGATCCTCCCAAAACCACTATTTGCACAGGTACAACACAGTGGTTTGAGAAGTCAAAACAAGGATGCTGGCTGCCTGAAAGAGGAAGGTGTACATCTCCTCTTTCTCTCTTTCTAGCTCACATCTCTTTCCCAAGGCAACTTGTACCAAAGAACACTGGCTCTCAGTCCTGTTATATGTTTATTGTTTATGTTTTTAATTTTAATTGCTTGTATTGTTGTGATTATTGCTTGTATTGTTGTATTCGGGCTCGGCCTCATGTAAGCCGTACCGAGTCCCTTGGGGAAATGGTAGCGAGGTACAAATAAAGTATTATTATTATTATTATTATTATTATTATTATTATTATTATTGTGCACCTACATAGTCCAGGAACCAGCATCAAGGAGAATTGATGAACGACTGGACTTTTAAAAACAGAAGGAGATATTTGGGAACACTCGTCTCAACTGTGTAAGAACAGCTTCTGCACTTGGATAGACAGGTAAGCATATATGCTGATCCCTTCCTACACCTGCTAGTTTGCCTTAGCCATTGTAGACCCTTTTCCTCTACTCGCCTGGCAAGTTACGACTCTCAATATGCATTCATTATATCCCTTGGAAATACAGCTGTAACTGTGAGAATTTCAATGGAAAATAGGTGAGAAAGGGTAAACTAGGGGCTGCAGGTGACACAATGGGTTAAACCCATGTGCTGCTGAACTGCTGACCTGAAGGTTGGCAGTTCAAATCCACGGGCCAGGGTGAGCTCCTGCTGTTAGCCCTAGCTCCTGCCAACCTAGCAGTTCGAAAACATGCAAATGTGATTAAATCAATAGGTACAACCTTGGTGAGAAAAGGCAAAAATACACTCCACACAGTCATGCTGGCCACACGACCAGGAGGTGTTTACGGACAATGCAGGCTCCTCATCTTGCAAATGGAGATGAGCACTTCCTCCTGAGCCAGAGATGAGCACGGCTTCCAGAGCCGGAAATGAATGGAGAAACCTTCCACACAGCCCTACCTCCCAGAATATCAAGGCAAAAAATCCCACAATATCTGCTTTGAACTGGGTTATCCAACTCCACACTCAGATAATGTGGGGTTTTCTGCTTTGATATTCTGGAAATAGGACTGTATGGAAGGGCCCTTTGTCTGCCTGTCTGTGTGCCATTGTATTTCATTGTAACAATGAAGCCCCCGGTGGCGCAGTGGGTTAAACCCCTGTGCTGGCAGGACTGAAGACAGACAGGTCGCAGGTTCGAATCCGGGGAGAGCGCAGATGAGCTCCCTCTATCACCTCCAGCTCCTGATGCGGGGACATGAGAGAAGCCTCCAACAAGGATGATAAAACATCAAAACATCCAGGCGTCCCCTGGGCAACGTCCTTGCAGACGGCCAATTCTCTCACACCAGAAGTGACTTGCAATTTCTCAAGTCACTCCTGACACGACAAAAAAAAATTGTAACAAGGCACTGAATGTTTGCCTGTGTCTGTTTATATGCTGTGATCCACTTTGAGTCCTCTCAGGGAGAAAGGCGGAATATAAATAGAGTGTTGTTATTATTATTATTATTATTATTATTATTATTATTATTATTATTAGTTCTATTATACCTGCCACCTGCAAGCTATTTGATGGAATCTTAGATTTTGATTCTATTTTCCACCAAATCTTGCATTCAACTCAGGGCATTCCAGAACTTCAATGCTCAGGCCAATGGACTGCTATGCTGACCTGTTAAAACATTGACAGCTGCCTTCCTAGGCCCCTTCTACACTGCCATGTAATCCAGATGATCAAATCTGAAAATCCACATTATCTGCTTTGAATTGGATTATATGAGTCTACACCAGGGGTTCTCAAACTAAGGTCCAGGGGCCGGATGCGGCTCTCCAAGGTCATTTACCCGGCCCTTGCTCAGGGTCAACCTAAGTATGAAACTACTTGAACGCATACAGTAACAACAATCCTATCTCATCAGCCAAAAGCAGGCCCACACTTCCCACTGAAATACTAATAAGTTTATATTTGTTAAAATTGTTCTTAATTTTAATTATTGTATGGTTTTTATATGTTTTTTTGCACTATAAATAAGATATATGCAGTTTTAACTGTTTTTTTTTTTGCACTATAAATAAGATATATGCAGTGTGAATGAACATGAAAGCATGAGAACAAGAATGACTGCTATCCCTGGCCAAGTGCCTAAGCAACCTGACATCTAATGTGTCACCTGCCACTTTGAGAAGAGCTTTTAATGGGCCCTTCCACACAGCCATATAACTCAGGACTCAGATAACCCAGTTCAAAGCAGATATTGTGGGGATTTCTGCCATAATATTCTGAGTTACATGGCTGTGTGGAAGGACCCAGGGTTGAGTTTAAGGGGAGTGCCTCTCTTGCTCCATGTTGATTGCAATACTACATGTACTCACCAGTCTCAGAGTAGCCGGTGGCAGTGATAATTGGCACAGCCACCATGACCAACCCAGCAGCACTCCACACATACTTCATGAGGAACTGCTCCAGCATGACATACCAGAGTCTCTCCAGAAGCAACACGTTGATCTGGGAGGCCAGCTCACGATAGCAGTGCCTTAGGAGGGACAATTCCACCTGGAAGGGAGCAGTCCAAAAAGACATTCAGATAAAGGGTCGCAGCAGATGACATTCAGAAAACATACAGTGGCTCTAAGTTTAGAGAACAAAAACATATTTTTTCCCTTCCAGTCTTTACAGTTTACAGAAGTAGTCTTCTTCTGAGAATTTAAGTCGGATACACCTGGTGCTGAAATGTGTCAAAGAAGAGTTCTAGAGATGCTGTGGATTGCTAAAAAGACACACAACAAATCAATCCTGATACAGAACAAAAGGGGAGATGATGGACCGTAGACTTATATGTCAAAAACTGTTACGCCGCAGAAGAGATGCAAGACAGCAATCCGGGAAGCCAGCTTGAAAGCATCTGGATAAGAATCAAGGGAACTGGGACTCAAAAAGGTCTCGTTGTAGGCATCTACTACAGACCTCCAAGCCAGGAGGAAGAACTTGATGAAGTCTTCTGCCAACAGTTGACCAAACGGGCACAGAGAAGAGATGTAGTAGTCATGGGCAATTTCAACTACCCCAATATTTGCTGGAAAACAAACCGGCCAAGAGTACAAGGCAAAATGACTAAACTGAGACTTTTATACTTTGGACATATCCTGAGGAGACATGACTCACTCGAAAAGATGATCATGCTTGGAAAAGTAGAAGGAAGCAGGAGAAGAGGAAGACTGTATTATAGATAGATATACTATGAACCACAGGGAGAGGAAGATAAGAAATAAAATTATGATTATGGTTAAAAATGTTTTTAAATTGGATTTTAACTTAATGGTTTTATTTAATGTGTAATATTGATATATTGTGTATGAATTCTGTATGTGTTGGCATCAAATTGTTGTAAGCTGCCCTGGGTCCCCCTTCAGGGGTTGAGAAGGGCAGGGTACAAATGCTGGAAATAAATAAATAAAAATTATTATTATTATTATTATTATTATTATTATTATTGGGTTGTTGGAGGTTTTTAATAATGTATTGTCGAAGGCCATGACAGCCTTCAACAATACATTATTATTATTATTATTATTATTATTATTATTATTATTATTATTATCTCAATCAAGAATGTCATGACCCTCAGTCTGTAAGACCTGAGCAGTACTGACGACTTGGTGGTCTTTCATTCATGGAGCCACTGTAACTTGAAGTTGGCCTAACAATGTCTGAATTTAACCTAACTCCAGTTTAAAGAATGTTTTGGTCTTGTAGACCAACTGATCATCTAGAAAGGAACCATGCAAGGCAATGAAATAGAGGCCTGAAACTCAGACTCCTTCCACACCGTTGTATAAAATCCACATTTAACTGGATTATATGGCAGTATGAACTCAGATAATCCAGATCAAAGCAGATATTATGAATTATCTGCCTTCATATGCTGGGTTATATGGCTGTGCGGAAGCGCCATCAGATATCAGCATTTTTCGTGTCATTATTTGTATGCAAATCATAAGAAGGTCCAATAGTTTTACCATAGTAATCTTTACACATCCCTGCTCCAGTGCCTTTAGCAATGGACTGGTCAAGATAAAGGCTTACCTACAAAGCCCTAAACGGTTTGGGACCTGCCTACCTGCGTGACCGCATCTCCGTTTATGAACCCACGCGTTCCCTTTGTTCATCCGGAGAGGCCCTGCTCGCGAACCCACCTGCGTTGCAGGCGCGTTTGGTGGGAACGAGAGACAGGGCCTTTTCTGTGGTAGCCCCCCGACTTTGGAACACCCTTCCCAAAGACATCAGACAAGCCCCTACACTGGCAGTCTTTAGGAAGAGCTTGAAGACCTGACTGTCCCGGTGTGCCTTTCCAGAATAGGAAACTCCAGCAATATGTCCCAGAAGCACTTTATCAGAGAGTTTAGATTGTCTGCACATTGCACTTACCCTAAAATCCTACATGTTACCTGTCATACTCAGCACCCTTTTAATCTGTACCCATTACAGTTAGCCCGCCCCTAGTTTTTAATTGTGTTATGGTGTATTGTTTATCGTCTCTTGCTTGATGTTTTTGATTTACTTTATAACGTTATGTGTATTGTTATGTTGTTGTTTTTGAGGCCTTGGCCCATGTAAGCCGCATCGAGTCCTTCGAGAGATGCTAGCGGGGTACAAATAAAGATAATAATAATAATAATAATAATAACAATAATAATAATAATAATAATAATAATAATAATAATAATAATAACGAAGGGCCCTTCCACACAGCCATATAACTCAGGGCCTTTCCACATAGTTCTATATCCCAGAATATAAAGGCAGAAAATCCCACATTTTCTGCTTTGAACTAGGATATATGGCAGTATGGACGCAGATAACCCATTTCCAAGCAGATATTGTGGGATTTTCTGTCTTGATAATCTGGGATATAGGGCTGTGTGGATCTGAGTCCACACTGCCATATATTCTAGTTCAAAGTAGATAATGTGGGATTTTATAAAATATACTTTCATTATCACTATGGCCCTTCTACACAGTCGTATAAAATCCAAATTATCTGCTTCGAACTGGATTATATGGCAGTGTAGACTCAGATAATTCAGTTCAAATCAGATAATGTGGATTTTCTGCATTGATATTCCGGGTTATAGGGCTGTGTGGAAGAGCCCTTAGTTATCAAGTTAGGAAGAGTAGCACCTGCTCAGTTTGTGAACTTTGGCCTGTTCTTAAAGGCATGATAGGTGGCAACTTTAATTAGCCATTTGTTGTTCTTTGCTACAAGAAACACAATGAACTGGTTCACAAATGCATAGCCAAGGATGGCTTAAGGCAGTATAAAGAGTTGACTGGCACATATGAATGAGCCAGAGCTGTTCTCTAACCCAACATACAGAATTCTGAGATGATTACAATGCAAATACGACGGAGAAAGGTTGCCAACAGCACAATCAGATAGGAGTGTTTATCTTAACACCAACAAATGCTTCAGCTACCACTTAAAGCAAACTACTTATAAATATGTAAAAGAAGACATAGCTCTCTGTTTTCTAGTTATCAAGTTATAAGTAATCTAGCAACACGCCTAACTTAATAGCCCAACTGTTATAGAGACAATAGGGCAAACAGTACAAGAACACAACACTAGGAAGAAAAAAGATCTTAAATAAACAATGAGGAGGAATGGTCAATGGTCCTAGATATTTCGACACTAATGCACAGAACATGAGAAATAAACAAGTTAAACTTGAACACAACACTAGGAAGAAAAAAGATCTTAAATAAACAATTAAGAGGAATGGCCCATGGTCTTAGATATTTCTACACTAATACACAGAACATGAGAAATAAACAAGTTGAACTTGAACTCTTGACACAGCCATGCAAATATAGTATAATAAGCATCACTGAAAGCTGGTGGGATGAGTCTTATGAATGGAATGTAGTAATAAAGGGCTATGACCTATTTTAGAAAAATGGACAAAACAGGAAAGGCAGAAAAGTAACATTATATGTCAATGATGTTTATTTGCAAATTTCTGGAAAATATAAGACTGGAAGAATGCAAATGCAAAAGGGGGGGAAAAGACTCAATTACCAGCCAGCCTGGCATCAATTTCAGAAAATTTTCTAGAGTTGATTGTTAAAAACACAGTCTGTAAGCACTTAGAAAGGAATGCCATGCTCACTAAAAGTCATTAAGGTTTTCAACACGTCATGTCAGACCAATCTCTTTTCTTATAGTTACAAACTTGGTAGATGAAAGGAATGCTGTGAGGTTAGTGTATCTAAAGCAATGATTCTCAACCTGTGGGTCCCCAGGTGTTTTGGCCTTCAACTCCCAGAAATCCTAATATCTGGTAAACTGGCTGGGATTTCTGGGAGTTGTAGGCCAAAACACCTGGGGACCCACAGGTTGAGAACCACTGCTCTAAAGCATTCCCTTCATCTACTAAGTTTAATAAATCTACGAGTAAGACCTTTCACAAGCTCCCCATGATGTTCTTACACAGAAGTTAGAAAAATGTGAGCTAGACAATGCTACTGCTAGGTGGATTTAAAATTGGCGAACTAAACACACCCAAATGGTGCTCTCCAATGACTCCTCCTCATCCTGGGGAGAAGTGATTGGTGGGGTGCTGCAGAGATCTATTCAGTGTCATTCAACACCTTTCTACATAAGCTGGATGATGCGACAGATGACATGATTACCAAATTTGCAGATGACATCAAATTGGGAGGGAAAGCTAATACTTCAGAAGACGGGATCAGAATTCAAAATGACTTTATAACAAATAAGAATAACAAAAATAATTTCTATGCAAATAAATGGAAGGTAGTAGATGTAGACATATAACACTGAATATGACAAGGCACTAGAAGTCTTAGTAGATCATGAGTTAACAGGATGATGTGGCAGCTAAAAAAATGAATGTGATTTAGTCAATAGGAGTATAGTGTCTAGATCAGGGATCTTCAAACTTTTAGAACAGAGGGCCAGGTCACAGTCCCTCAAACTGTTGGAGGTCTGTATTATAATTTGAAAAAAAAAATGAATGAATTGCTATGCACACTGCACAAATCTTATTTGTAGTGCAAAACACACTTAAAACAATACAATAATTAAAATGAATAATTAAAACAAATATAAACTTATTGGTATTTCAGTGGGGAGTGTGGGCCAGCTTTTGGCTGATGAGATAGGGTGTTGTTGTTGTGTGCTTTCAAGTCGTTTCAGACTTAGGTTGACCCTGAGCGAGGGCCGGGCAAATGACCCTTTTCTGTATCCGACCCTCGGGCCTTAGATTGAGGATCCCTGGTCTAGATCGAGGAAGGTAATAATATTACTCTATTCTGCTTTGGTTGCACATCATCTGGAACACCATGTCCAGTTGGGAACGTCACAATTTTAAAAAGGGATTGACAAGCTGGAAAATGTACCGAAAAGGGTGACCAAAATAGTTGAAGTTCTGCTCACCATGTTCTATGTGGAACGGCTGAAGGAGCTGAGTATATTTAGCATGGAGAAGGGAGGGTTAAGAGGTGACATGATGCCCATGTTTAAATATTCAAAG